TGAGCTTATATCTTTAAAAACGTCAATATTTGAGAAAATATCCCCATGAAAAAAAAAAAATATAAAAAATATACATTTCGAAATATACAAAAAATATATTTAAAATATATTAAAAATCTATAAAAAATATATAAATATATAAAAAATATGTACAAAAAATATATTTTTAATAACTAATTTTTGGCCAATTTTAATATATATTTTATATATTTCAAATCGACGTTCTAATTATCAAATTGTCTAACTCCATTTTAGAGAATATTCTATTTGTACGAAAAAAACAATCAGTTAAAAATTTATTATCACTTTAAAAAACCATTTTATATGATTATTATCTAATAGAGATATAATATTCAGGTTTGAATCATTCAAATAATGTATAGTTCGATTATGGCTACATCAAAATGTTAAAAAATCACCCTCTATAAAATATGGAGTTAGACTAATTGCTAATTAGACCATCGAAATATATTTTAAATATATTCAAAATATATTTTTAGCTATGTATTTTTTATGTATTTCAAAATATATCTTGAATATATCTAAAATATATTTAAAATATATAAAATATATATGAAAATCGGCCAAACATTTTGACAACCCGGATCGGATGTATCGGTTATATCGATTGCTAGGTGATAACAGTCTAACGATATACAACACACTCAGCTATTTACACTACCCTAAATATCACTTTGGGACCTATAGGGTGTACCCGTCAATCCATTTCGATGTTAATGCCTCATATCGGCTAGTAGAATACACTAGATGCCGAAAAGATTTATACACACACATACTTATTATTATTATTTCCCTTTTTCTATCCATCACACATTTTTATTTTTTTACTCAACTTACTTTCAGTATCTAACATGTCTCGGTGGTTATGTATGCCATATTAAACTAAATCTTTAGCATTTTTCAAAAGACGGTTTTACATTTTTAAAAAATAGTATATCTATCGCGAGTAAAGCCACCATGGGATGGGATCTTACCTCTTGCTCTGTTTTCATCTACATTATATTACATTATTTACTTCACTTATTCATGCTTCGTTTCTTCTATTCATAATACAATTCTCAAAGAATGAATTCCTCAGTGGCAATGTGCTCAGTCTTCAACACGATTTTTACTTTTTTTAAATGCAAATATAAGTCTACGACTATAATAATAATAGGATAGGGTCAATTCAAAGATAAAAATAGACTTTCTCTATTATTTACTATTTTTATTTTTTTCAATAAAACTAAATTATGATCAATAATATTTTGCAAAAAATGATTTGGAAACATGTGTTTTCGGTAAACAACATTTTGGTTCTATTTTTTTTTTATTCTTTAACTTGAAAGGATATGATACTGATACTGATCAACGTGATAAATGAATGAAACATGAGCGAGCAGTTTTTGTTTCGGGGTTTTTAAAGTTTACGATATTCTGACAACGACGATTGTAAACCACGAAATTTATCGGTAGTCAATGCGCGAGAGCTGAGAGCCAACCGTTTACAGTCTGATGACCTATTTAACAAAGTTTACTAACCATTACACGGTTTAAATCCAAATTTGCTAGTCATTTAAATCCTTTATCCCTCGCAGTATTTATCACTTCAATAATTACACAAATACTTGAAGTATTTTTTACAATACAGATTAGCTTTAATATCGTTAATTCAGCAGTCAAAAATTTATCAAGTTTTATTCTCTACAATAACTTTTATTAAAAAAAAAAAATAAATTTATGTAATTCAATTGCTCTTTCAATTAAAATACACAATATACATATAATAAATAATAAATAATAACATTATTGTCGCGTTGAGAGGATAATGACTCTATGAATGAAAAGAAAAAAAAAGAATGATCCGTGGCAAGTTACGCAATACCTGTCAGAAGTGACGCATGTCAGTAAATATATACCGAGGAGAATGAACTGTAGTTATTAAAGGCCTAAACAAGCTTTACGGGAGCATCACTGTTGGCTTATTATTTGTATTATCATTTTATCATTTTTTTTGACCCAAGTATTTCAATGAAATTTATTAATCTTGGATTCTGAGATTTATTAAATGTGTAATTAAATGATGTGTTTAATATTAACTATTTATCTATCAAATTATTTTATTTATAATGTACAACTGTTATAATCAGTAGAAGAAATTAACCTTTAATTTTTTCTGTAAATAACTTTTCCTCGGTTTACGTTTCAGTAGAATGAATTATTAACATTTTTCTTAAGCTTATTTATTTTTTAAACATCACGTATTTAAGCGGTTGCAGTTATTAAACGGTAATGGAACGAGAAATTATTTTCATTTACAATTTATTAAAGTGAAGAAAATAATTTAAAATTTCTATAAAAAACATTTTTATAGAACAATATATATTTAGATTAACATTAAATTTCTTATACATATTATAAAAAAGAGTTATTTTTTATTGTTAAATTTTTAAATCATTTATTATGGTGTCTTTTATTTATTGAGTATAAACAATTAATTTTACAGTGTAAATTGTATTGTATTAGTATTTAATGTCATCATAGCACAGTGTGGTGACGTTGTAAAGGTGAACCGTAGTTGTAGTAGTCAAGCACTGTTAATTCGACACTTTGGATTATAATCTTCAATTATAGTCTATCCAGCACGACATTAGAGGTAATCCTCTGGGACAGTGCAATCAATGCTTCCGATCGAAATTAACAGTTCAGTGATTGCTATCAATTTTTTATAAAAGCCAATTGTAAACTTCGAGTCATTATCGTTATTTTTATATCTAATAATAAAGTTAACAGAGCTTTAATTCATTTATTTTTCTGCAGTATTCAATTAAAGCTTTTCATAAAATCATAAAATCGACCTACCATGAAATCAAAAAATAATTTTATTATAAATTGTAACAGAATTAAAAAATGACTGTTACAAATATACTAGACCGGAACGTCAATCGATATTTCTCATAGCAAATAAAACAAAAATTCGTTTACTCGATTTAAATTCAATCCTTCTTTTCTCTCTTCCAAATCATTTTATTTTGCTAAAAGAATCTGATAAAGTTGCGCAATATTTACAAATTTATTTTATCTATTTTCACTTAAAAGGAAATTTAAAGTTGTCTGATGTATTGCGATAAAAAAAGTCGAGCACAAAGTGTATATTTATAAAAGTTGGAGAAAAAAAATAAAACAAAGAAATTCACTAAACTTTAAATCATGAAGATATACCGTAAGGTATACATATATTAAATTAAACTGCACTTTTTAGAGCCATAAAGCTACATAGACTATCAAAAGCCAGAGCATCTATTTTACTGTTTACTTTTTTTTAAATGAAATGTCTAATAAAGTTTCATAAAAATTGCTATACGTTGTCACTATTTACGATAAGTATTTTTTTTTTTTTTTCAGTAAATATTTATTTTTGTCAATAAAATTTGAATAAAACTACTTGATTAAATGAATAAAATTAATCGAACAATGAGATACTCGAGATTTCTTTTCAATTTTTTGTGTCATTCTATTTTATTAGATTCCATTGTATTTACTAATCGATATTAACCGAATTGAATGTCTTTTGTCAATATATTAATTGGAGCCAAATCAACTACTTGATTATTTTAACTATCAGCAATTATAAATTTAAAAAATTCATTAGTATTATCAGAAAATATTGTCATTCAATTGTATATTCTTGTATGATAATTAGATTTATTATTATCATCGCATAAACTAAAGAACATATAAATTGTCGTTCTAATAGGTAAAGTCAAGTCATATATATATAAATTAGTAAATTATTTATAGATATTATATATGACAGCGCCTTGTTTTGATGAGTCATTATACGTCTTGTGTGTAAATTGATTTATCCTTACTCTCATATTTTTATTTTAGTAATTTATTTTAAAAATTAGCATAAGGATTATCTTTCCTGCAATTGCATAATTATTGTATTACAATACCGATCTATAACATAAATATAATGAATCATTTCCTATATCATAGAACAGTTTTATATAAAATATTCATTATTTATTCAATGTAATTAATTAATTTTTATTTTTATTACCTAGCAATAAAATTAGTGTTATTGATTTAAAAAACTTACCGCCAATAATAGTCAAGATGATATCCTTCAGTTTAATTATTTGTAGAAATCAGATATAAAAAAAAAATATGTAACTTTGTAAAGTAAGTTCATTACGCAGCAGATATCATGGATAATTGTCACTTGTGTGTGAAAATTCTCGTGGTCACTCGCTCTTGAGCTACTTTTATTCATGAATATCTTTTCTTTTCTTTTTTTTTTTTTTTTTTTCATTGTAATCATAATCAATAACCCTGTCCTGGAGTTGGGCACGTGTTGTTGTGTCATCGTAAAATTTTAAAAATAAATAGATGAAGAAAAAGGTTTTTTTTTTTAAATTAAAAATCGAGTGCAGAGTAGAGTAGTTTTTTAGTAAATTCTGTCTGATTGGTACGATCTTGAACTACTTTGAGTTACTCGAAATGTTTCACAACAAATTTGTTTTGCCTATCGACTTTCGTTTTTTATTTATTTTAAAGTTTCCTTTTATTGTGGGTTTTTTTTCATTACTATTTGATGTGTTTGACAAAGACTACAGATAATGGAATGTTTACTTGAAGAGATCACCGGATGCAAAGGTAAATTTTGCGGCGAGTCACGAGTCAATTCACTCATCGGTTGTTGTTAAGTTAAGATAAATTCAGTGGGTGTGTCGCGGTATAACGTAGCAACATGTAGTATTACGTCGTGAAAAGCTTTGAGTTAACTTTAATGGCCTTGTCAAATGCCCCATAGCCCAGCCTTTACTCTACCGTGGTGTAAAAAAAGTACTTACCTGTCCACGTAATGTTTATACTGTCAGGTGGGGATCTTAAAATATATATAGATGTGGAAAATAAAAAGTCGCATGCATAAAGACTCTGAATATTTCTTCTAACAGTTGTTGACAAGTTTCGTTAAGGAATAATACATTTTTTACACAATGAACACGATTTTTGTGAGTTTTTATTATCAATTATTTTATTTTTTTTAATTTCTATAATACATCATAAAATGTACATTTTTTTTGAAACTGTTTATATAAAATTATCTATTTCAATTGATAAATAATTTTATTTAACAATATTTAGTTATTTTTATGAAAAAATTTTAGATAGCAATATTGGTAAGCGCAATATCACTAAGCAGTGCTATAGATAATCCAGAATCATCGAAACTTATATCGGAGAGTAAACCATCGGCGGGAACGAAAGATCTCGAGACGTCTGCCAGTGATAGATGTAAATATTATTTATTTATTTATCTATTATAATATTATTTAAATTTTTGTTATCACACTCATCACTTATCATCTTCACCCACACTGTTAAAAATTTCTATTGTAATTTTACAAGAAATGTATTGGAAGCTAATAGGCAAAACATTTATTTAAAATTACAATCGGGTATAGTAAAATTACAAAACATATATAGCTCAGTGAGGTTACTAATTTTACAAAACGGTTTTGTAATTTTACAAATATTTTTAGATTAGCTAAGTTTGTAAAATTACAATACTTTCTTTGAATTTTACTTGAATTGAAATAATAAAAAAGAAAGATTTGATTTAATATCTGTTGTCATTTTATTGTTATGAAGCGCTGACTAGATTTGTATCTCACGTAGACCTAATTTGTACAACTCAGATGATTTAAAGTGAAAATAATATATACCCTAACTAAGAATCGAACGCGAGCCGCGCGCTTGCCAGACCGATACCTAACGCCCTACGCCGTACGACCGATAGGTGGTTTAACATCTTATTATTCTTATAAGCTAATCCTATGTGGTGATAAAGCATTACGGCTTATTATTTATTATTTACATTATTTGTGTTATTTTATGCTGTTTATTGATGAAAAAGTTTAACATATACTCATTCAAATATATTGATTTCGAAATGATCGTTTGAGCATAAAATTAAAATTTATAAAAGAGAAATCATGCCTCGAATTTATTATTGCAAATAAACAACCATAGACTAAAAATTAGTAAAAAATTGTTGTTTTTTTATACATCAGTCTCATTTTTGTAAAACTGAAAAGTATTATTTTTAAAATTGGAAAACAGTGAAGTAGAATTACAATTCGTGTAATATAAATAAAATTTTCTGGTAACATTACATTGTACTGTGTAATTTTACAATGAAAATTGTAAAATTAAAAAAAAAGCTTTTTAAATTTTTTATGAGATTATTGTAATATAAATTAAAATATTTTTTTGTGATTTTACATACAATTATGCTGAATCAGATCACAAATAATGTTTGCAAAATTAAAAAGCTTTTGCTTAAAAATTGACGAACAGTTCTGTAATATTACAATGCGTGTAAGGTTTATACAAGAAGATTGTAAAATTACAATACATCTTAGTAGATTTCCTGACAGGTGTTGGAAAATTACATGAATTGTATTTTATTTCGCATTGCTATACACTGATTTGTAATTTTACATATCATTTGTTTTGTAATATGATTGTAATTTTACAAAAATTTTTAACAGTGCATTTAACCATATCAGAGAGACCCGAATGATAAATTGGTTCGCAAAATTAGGAATCGTTGAGGATTAAGCAAATAATTACTTAACTGGCTTTCTTGGCTTTTACCAAGTCCTTCAACACATGAATATGTATGAGAATTATTAGCTTATCATATTAAAATAACAATAATATACATCGGTTTAGCATATATCGCGTGTGTGAACAGAGTACTTGAAGATCGTGTGAATATCAATGACATACTTCTTATACTTATTACTCTTTATTTGTAGTCTGGTTATTATATACTCAATTCAGTAATATTAGATAACAATTGTAATTAAACAGTAATTGTGATTGCTCTGATTCAGAAAGATGATTTGAAATGATTACCTTTATATTAATTGTATATCTGTGTAGTATTTAAATTAGATTAGTCAGGCGAACTAAAAATCAAAAAGTTTTAGTTAATACAAATATTTGACATATAAAACAAAAATAAATGAAAATAACAATAGTTACTCTTATGGTTAACATCCTCGTCTAGTTTTCACAAAGTCAATAGATGTAATAGAGTAAAACAGCATATTCATATAATCTCAAACATTTTTTCCAAATTACAATATTAACAACTTGCTTAGATTCCTCTTAAATACCATCCAAATTGATAAATTAATAAGATAATATAAAAGTTATTTAAATAGCTAATATTTAAATTAAGTTATTTAAAATATTTTGAATATAGACGAGAACTTAAATATTAATTTTAAATAATTTCAAATTAGATTTCTTAATCAGGGTGATGATGGTCAAACATCTAGAACAACAATAGAAACATAAAAATTAACAGTAATAATAACATTAATCGTCGGATATAGAAGACAGAAATGAGTTTACCAGAATATCTGCAGTATGTAATGAGAACGATATTTAACCTGAATGCTTAGTCGTAAACTATTTTGTGTACCTGTTAGAGCCTGTCAAAACAAACCATCGCGGTAGTAGTATATTAGTATATACTCGAGTCCCTACTCGTTACAAGTCACGTGCTTGAACTGCTGTAGTCTCGTTCTCTCAACATGACTCATAAACATTTCTGACAGATCTAAGACAAGAGATGTATGATGTCATTTCCGTTTCCTTGGAAATGCAATGATAATACACTTGCGTGTACTACTAACTAGTATGTTGTCTATACTCATGTTGATGTTGTTGTTCTGTTGTTCTCTTGTTCTTGTCAAATGTCTTTCAATCTCAATCACTTTGTATTAGACTAACCTTGTGAATTAACAAACTGCTCTTCAATCTCAGATTTCAGCCATCTCGTCTCATCTTATTAAGTAATTATTAATGTTTAGTTATGTACCTTAGTTTTTTATAAGTTATGAAAAAATTGTACTTTAATCTTAAGTTTACTCATGTTTTAAAAATATTCGACAGACCTTTAACAAAGACGTCATAAAACTTAAAATTCGGAAATTTATGACAGTCGAACTCAAGTAGTTGCCATTGTTAAATAATCCCTTTAATGACTTAGACTAACCTTCGACACAAACGGATAAATTTTACAACCCATCTGTTTATCAGATGGCGACCAGACTTTTCCCAACTTAGCAATCTTCTCACACTTAGTTTAAACAACCCTTCTTTAAATAAATAATACCCTTTCTAGAATCCTTTCCTTTAACAACAATTCCCAAACTCCAGTTATTTTCCACCAACCAAAAACGGAAATACCCTTCCCAAAATTGCACTCTCTGAATGACGATAGTTTGACTAAAAATCGAACAAGACAGTTACTGACAAACCTCTGACCACGCTCGCCGAGCGTCTTATACCTGACCTTTACCGACTTACGTACCGATAAATTTAATGTAAAAAGTATAGTCAGTACTCAATAAAAGAAATCAATATAAAATCGAAATATTTGTGATCTTTTTAATTAAACATCACAAAATTCTTGTTAAATTATAACCGAATTAATTTGCAAGAAAACAATTAATATTTATAAAATTTACAAAATTTATGTCCTTCTTGTGTAGATCGCATAAAATAAGACCTATGTAAAGTGCTTTTAACTTTCAAGTGGTAGAGCTTAAAATTTAATTTCAGAAAGCATTAAACCCTAACGTAAACTTTATTTACTTTATGTATGATCATAATCAGAATTGCAAACGCTACATTTCACATCTCGGATAAACTTTACAGCAAATTCATAATCTCTAAAACTTGTCTCATATTAACTTCTCGACTGAATACTCCAAACTAAAGGAACATTCGTTGTTCATTATAACATCAAACGTGCGCTACATTTTATATTGAACTTACCACATTTAAATTATTGCACAACCTTCCGGTACCTTTTCTTACCTACGACAAAAAATAAATAAATAAATAAAAACATTATAACACAAAATATATGTACATAATAGTTTTCCTGGGAGCCAAAGATTACTCTACCTATGGTAGTGCTTACAATTACGGAAGTTACCCCGGTTCTTACTACAATAACTACAATGGTTACTATCCATCATCAAACTCAGTATATCGTGGGTATCAATCAGGTTTGAGCGGGATACTCGGAACTAGGTAAAAAAAAATATATATATGTATAAATAATTATGAATTTGATAAATAGTAATTAAAATGGCATTTAAAAAAATAGTAACAGATATAATGGATACGGTGGTGGATATGGATACGGCAATGGATACGGGTATGGTAATTATGGTTTAGGAGGATCAGTATACAATGGATATGCCAACGGTGTTGGTTACGGTACTGGACTAGGTGGAATTGGAGTTGGATATGACGATAGCCTAAATGGTCGAGGTTACAATCGTTGGAACATTATTGACGGGAATAATGGTGGCTATTACAGTGGTGGATACGCCAATCGTCCGAACGATTACCTAGGATACTCAGGAAACTCAGGATATGGCTTAGGATCTGGCAATTATCCCTATCGTGGAATCGGTTCTTATTCTTACAACAGTTATCCTTCAGGCTACCGAGGGTACTCGTAATAATTATCCAATAAACTTTGGATAATCATCTTTCTATTTTTAAATATCAAATTACAAATTTCTATACTTTTTACAAATATACTATTATTATTGGTTGTTTAATTTATTTTTATTTGTTCCATACACTTCAAAGTAGACATATATACTTAGAAAAAAAAATCATTTTTTTTATTTTTTATTAATAAGTACATATGATTAATATATACATTCAATTATCCAATTAATTAAATTATAATATGTATGTTTATAAAAGTTATCTTATAATTAGTAATCTCAAGTATGAAAAATTATGGTAACTAAAACTAAGATTATAACTAGAGCCAGAAATACGTATTGTTTTTTTTTTCTTTTTATAAAAATACGAGCTGGCTTTGTTTGATATTTTGAGATCATAAGGACATAGTTTGTATCAAAATAATTTTATAATGAGATAGTTTAAGAAACCAAATAATAAATCAACGTCCTTGTGATAGCAAAATATTAAAAAAGATAAATCAAACAGCAGATATCAATTATCTGAGTCCCATCAATCGTCAGTCATTATCGTCTAAAACTATCAAGTTATATAAAGTTACGAATTCCTCAGAGTAGTTGAGTAATCTCAGTTGACATAGACCTAGTCAAAAATTATAGAGTAACATACAATTTATGTATATATAATCAGTGATAAAACACCAGAGACCGTACTCTGTAGAGAGGGAAAGATTCAACTACTGATATAGCTCTGGATACAGTTATATCAAAGCGTCAGTCCGACAATTAATTTAACCACGTTCAGTTGCTGATATCTTTTCAGCGGTCTACAAACCATGTGAATCCATGAATTTAAATTTTGACAGTTATCTGATTAGATGTTGTTAATTAATTAGTTTTAGTAATAATATTCGGTTCGGTATTCTAATTAATTATAATTGTTTATTCGCCGTCTATCTTGCCTCGATGCATTAGAGTGACGTTTGCTGATATTATTAATCGGAACATTCAACAATCCGAAATTCGCTTCAGAGATAACGTGTTTGATGGCTTTGATGTTACTGAGTTGACTTAGGTCTAAAAATTTTCCACCGATAAATCCGGATTCCTTACCACTGCAAATACTGCAAGGATAGGGGATCGAAGCTGCCGAGGGAAACATGGCTTTTGTCATACTTTCTGTTTTACTTTCCTCGCCTGGACAGTACGGGAAAAATATTACTGGAATAAATCCAATTTGTCCGGTAATAGGCGTGTAATTAAATTGATCAAGAATCGGCGCTGACGTTGTCGTGACTAAATTTGTCGAATTTTTCGATTCAACAATATAACAAGGACACTTTTCAGGATTTGGGCCAACAGGTAGAGAAATAGGCTTTATTTCAACTGGACCAGAGTCTTCCATTCTTGATTTTTCATTATTATTATTATTATTATTATTATTATTATTATTATTATTAGGTAGTTTTTCTATATCAACCATTGGCCCTTCTTCATTGGGAACTTGCAGATCTAGATTATTGTCATTTCGAGCCTTTGCTGATAGCCTTTGAAACTTTTCATTGTACTTTGATACTTGATATGCAAATTCGGGGTCTTGATTCAATGACAATACTTGATCTTCAGACAGAAATTCACTGCGGCCGGATTTTTGTAAGCTCGCCTTGTTTCTTCGTTCAGATGATCGTTGTTGACTGTTTATCTGCGGTAGATCGTCAGCTGCTATTTCTGATGGCATAGAACGTTGCACAGACTCAAATTGGTAATTTTGTGGTTCAATATTTTCGACGTTTGAATCATCAACAGGTTGAGGTGAATTTTCAGTCAGTGAAAATGGAGCTGGTTGAAAATTGTCTTGAAAAGATTCTCTGGGTTTTTCATAGTTATATCCTTGATCGACTGGAGCTTGCTTTAAAGACGAAAATTCTAAAGATTTTTCTTCAAGCTCAAGTTCTGGTTCAATCGGAAGTTCTTTTTCATCGTAAGCATTTTGATAGTTCTCGTTGGTACGGGGTTGTTTGTCATAAGCTGGATCTCCTGGCCAAGGACCGTCTGGACCAGGATCTCCCGTAGGCCATGGACCATCTGGCCCAGCTGGTCCAGTTCCTCCAACACCACCAACACCTCCAATTCCTCCTACTGGTCCTGTTCCACCAACTGGGCCTTCTGGTCCTTCTGGTCCTTCGAGTCCAGGTCCCCCTGGTCCTCCTGGTCCTCCTGGGCCACCAGGTCCTCCTGGTCCACCTGGACCACCAGGTGCTCCCGGAAACGTACCTGTAGGTCCTACTGGACCGGTTGGAGCTGGAGGGTAGCCAGGATAATTGGGATCATCGGGATCTGGATATCCAGGATATGGAGGTAATAAATTATCAGGTTGCTGTGGTACTGATGGGTATCCAGAACCAGTATCAGAGGGTCCTGGATAACCGGAGTCAATAGTGCCGGGGTAACCCGGTTGACTTGAATCAGATGAGCCTGGTCTTGAGGGATAGTTTGTACCACCAGGAGGGTATCCTGACGAGGGAGGAGTTGGTCTTGTTGGACGAACTGGTGATTGACCACCGTGTGAAGTGGTACTTGTGCTTGGATAAGACGGTGGTCGGGGACGGGTAGTTGAACCAGTACCAGTGTGTGAAGGATAGCCAGAAGTGACTGTAGATTGACCAGGTAAAGTTGATGGTTTAGAAGGCCTACCAGGTTTTGATGTCGATGGATGTCCTGGTTTGGGAGATGTTGTCGTTGGTCTTTGTCCGTGATGAGGCTTTCCATGGCCGTGAGATGGTTTATGATGTGGACGACCTGGTTTCGAAGTTGATGGGTATGATCCACTACCAGGAAATCCTTGATTACCTGGATGACCGGTTCCAGAACCCGGAGGTTGTTGAGGTTGTTGAGGATATGAAGGAGTTTCGGGTTTCATTGGTTTTTCATGCCCAGGAGAAGGCTTCTGTTGTGGAGGACGTGGGTTTGGTGTTGACGGCTGTGAACCTGGATATCCTGCAGATGCGGGGTATCCTTGATTAGTAGGATATCCACTTCCTGAGCCTGATGGATGGGATGACGAAGAACCACCTTGGGATGGGAATGAACCGGGTTGAGGATAACCAGGCTTTTGTTGTGGAGGACGTGGTTTTGGTGTTGATGGCTGTGATCCACTTCCTGGAAATTCTGAAGATCCAGGTTGTCCTTGATTATTAGGGAAACTACTTCCTGGGCCAGATCCAGGATACTGCGGTTGTTGAGGTTGATTAGATCCGCCGGATGGATGAGTTGACCCAGAATGGGGAGGCTGCGGCTTAGGTTTTGATGGATAAGAGCTACCTCCCGAAGATCCAGGATACTGTGGTTGTTGAGGTTGATTGGATCCGCCGGATGGATGAGTTGATCCAGAATGAGGCGGCTGCGGCTTAGGTTGTGATGGATAAGAGCCACTTCCTGAAGATCCAGGATATTCTGGATTAGTAGGGTAACCATTTCCAGGATACTGCGGTTGTTGAGGTTGATTAGATCCGCCGGATGGATGAGTTGACCCAGAATGGGGAGGCTGCGGCTTAGGTTGTGATGGATAAGAGCCACTTCCTGAAGATCCAGGATATTCTGGATTAGTAGGGTAACCATTTCCAGGATACTGCGGTTGTTGAGGTTGATTAGATCCGCCGGATGGATGAGTTGACCCAGAATGGGGAGGCTGCGGCTTAGGTTGTGATGGATAAGAGCCACTTCCTGAAGATCCAGGATATTCTGGATTAGTAGGGTAACCATTTCCAGGATACTGCGGTTGTTGAGGTTGATTAGATCCGCCGGATGGATGAGTTGACCCAGAATGGGGAGGCTGCGGCTTAGGTTGTGATGGATAAGAGCCACTTCCTGAAGATCCAGGATATTCTGGATTAGTAGGGTAACCATTTCCAGGATACTGCGGTTGTTGAGGTTGATTAGATCCGCCGGATGGATGAGTTGACCCAGAATGGGGAGGCTGCGGCTTAGGTTGTGATGGATAAGAGCCACCTCCTGCAGATCCAGGATATCCTGGATTAGTAGGGTAAACATTTCCGGGGCCAGATCCAGGATACTGTGGTTGCTGAGGTTGATTAGATCCGCCGGATGGATGAGTTGACCCAGAATGGGGAGGCTGCGGCTTAGGTTGTGATGGATAAGAGCCACCTCCTGCAGATCCAGGATATCCTGGATTAGTAGGGTAAACATTTCCGGGGCCAGATCCAGGATACTGTGGTTGCTGAGGTTGATTAGATCCGCCGGATGGATGAGTTGACCCAGAATGGGGAGGCTGCGGCTTAGGTTGTGATGGATAAGAGCCACCTCCTGCAGATCCAGGATATCCTGGATTAGTAGGGTAAACATTTCCGGGGCCAGATCCAGGATACTGTGGTTGCTGAGGTTGATTAGATCCGCCGGATGGATGAGTTGACCCAGAATGGGGAGGCTGCGGCTTAGGTTGTGATGGATAAGAGCCACCTCCTGCAGATCCAGGATATCCTGGATTAGTAGGGTAAACATTTCCGGGGCCAGATCCAGGATACTGTGGTTGCTGAGGTTGATTAGATCCGCCGGATGGATGAGTTGACCCAGAATGGGGAGGCTGCGGCTTAGGTTGTGATGGATAAGAGCCACCTCCTGCAGATCCAGGATATCCTGGATTAGTAGGGTAACCATTTCCAGGATACTGCGGTTGTTGAGGTTGATTAGATCCGCCGGATGGATGAGTTGACCCAGAATGGGGAGGCTGCGGCTTAGGTTGTGATGGATAAGAGCCACCTCCTGCAGATCCAGGATATCCTGGATTAGTAGGGTAACCATTTCCAGGATACTGCGGTTGTTGAGGTTGATTAGATCCGCCGGATGGATGAGTTTAGGTTGTGATGGATAAGAGCCCCCTCCTGCAGATCCAGGATATCCTGGATTAGTAGGGTAACCACTTCCTGGGCCAGATCCAGGATATTGCGGTTGTTGAGGTTGATTGGATCCGCCGGATGGATGAGTTGATCCAGAATGGGGAGGCTGCGGCTTAGGTTGTGATGGATAAGAGCCCCCTCCTGCAGATCCAGGATATCCTGGATTAGTAGGGTAACCACTTCCTGGGCCAGATCCAGGATATTGCGGTTGTTGAGGTTGATTGGATCCGCTAGATGGATGACCTGATCCAGAATGAGGAGGCTGCGGTTTAGGTTGTGATGGATAAGAGCCACCTCCTGCAGATCCAGGATATGCTGGACTAGTAGGATAACCACTTCCTGGGCCAGATCCAGGATATTGCGGTTGTTGAGGTTGATTGGATCCACCGGATGGATGAGTTGATCCAGAATGGGGAGGCTGCGGCTTAGGTTTTGATGGATATGATCCTCCAGGTGATCCAGGATATCCTGGTTTAGCGGGATAACCATTTCCTGGGCCAGATCCAGGATACTGCGGTTGTTGAGGCTGATTGGATCCACCGGATGGATGAGTTGATCCAGTTTGAGGGGGTTGCGGATTAGGTTTTGATGGATAAGAGCCACCTCCCGACGATCCAGGATACTGCGGTTGTTGAGGTTGATTGGATCCACCGGATGGATGAGTTGATCCAGAATGAGGCGGCTGCGGTTTAGGTTGTGATGGATAAGAGCCACCTCCTGCAGATCCAGGATATCCTGGATTAGTAGGGTAACCATTCCCTGGGCCAGATCCAGGATACTGCGGTTGTTGAGGTTGATTGGATCCACCAGATGGATGAGATGATCCAGAATGGGGAGGCTGCGGCTTAGGTTGCGATGGAAAAGAGCCACCTCCTGCAGATCCAGGATATGCTGGACTAGTAGGGTAACCACTTCCTGGGCCAGATCCAGGATACTGAGGTTGTTGAGGTTGATTGGATCCGCCGGATGGATGAGGTGATCCAGTTTGAGGAGGTTGCGGTTTAGGTTGTGATGGATGAGAGCCACCTCCTGCAGATCCAGGATATCCTGGACTAGTAGGGTAACTACTTCCTGAACCCGATGGATAAGAAGACGAAGATCCACCTTGAGATGGGAATGAGCCGGGTTGAGGGTGACCAGGCTTTTGTTGCGGATGCTGCGGTTTTGGTGTTGGTGACTGTAATCCACTTCCCGGGAACCCTGAAGTTCCAGGATATCCTTGACTGCCCGGGAAACCATTTCCTGAGCCTGATGGATATTGAGGTTGTTGTGGATTAGAAGATCCACCGGTTGGTATTTGTGACGGTCCATCTGGTGTGATTGGCTTTGGTAGCTCCGGCGATGATGGATACTGTGGATACTCCGGTTGCAATGGTTGTGACGGTTTCTGTGTCGTCTGTCCCGGGTATCCTGGTTTACCTGGTTTGCCATGTCCATGGGGTGGTTTTCCTTGACCAGGTTTTACGCCTTGAGTTGGTTTATCATGACCATTTCCAGGCTTATTCGGTTTTCCGGGTCGTCCCGGTTTCGAATGTATCGGCTTTTCAGGTTTCGATGGCCCTGGTTTATTTTGAGGTGGTCGAGATGATGGTGATTCAGGTCTTCCTGGAATTGGGTTCGAAGATGATGGGCTTTCATTTCCACTTGGTGTTTGTCCAGGATAGCTCGGTTGTGATGGATAACTTGGCTGAGATGGATAACCTGGTTGGGATGGATAACTTGGTTGAGATGGATAACCTGGTTGGGATGGATAACTCGGTTGAGATGGATAACCTGGTTGGGATGGATAACCTGGTTGAGATGGGTAGCTTGGCTGAGACGGATATCCTGGCTGTGATGGATAGCCAGGCTGGGAAGGATAACCTGGTTTAGAAGTTCCACTTCCTGGTTTTGAATTAGAACCACCTCCAGTTTGATCTGGGTATTGTCCATTTGGGTTTTCAGGTCTTGATGGAATTTCGTTTCCAGTTTGTCCAGGATATGAAGATCCGGGAATATTATTGGACTCTGATGGTACTCCATTATCTGGAACTCCAGGAACTAAAATAAAAATAAAATTATATAAAAGAATGTGATAAAATGAATGAAATGAAACCCGATTGAAATAATTAATAACCTGGTCGTGATGGTCGTGTTGGTCTTGGACCAGGATTTTCAAATTGACGACAATCTTTAGGGAACTTCAAGTCTCTCCAAGGCGTGATGATACCATGATGTTTGTGATGATCATCACCGTCACTGTTGTTGTTATCGTGATCATGGTTGCCGGAATCTGAACCGTGATGTTCATGTTCATGAAGGAATAATTCAATCTCCTCTCCTGGACGAACTACTCTGTAACCCCAACCATCGCTTATATAAAAGGTCGCTTGTAGTTCCCCAAATGGATCGATATATCCATAACATCCATACGTTACTCCATCCTCTCCATGTATTTCATGGTGAAATTGACCATCTGGTCCAATTTCATACCCATAATTATAAGAGTCTAAAAAAAAATTAATAATTATTACAAATTAGAAATATTTGAATTTTGCAGATATAAAGAATTTAAAACATACTCGTTTCGAAATCTTGATTCAAGTATTGGGTTTTTGACTCATCACTTATACTTAAAATAAGTTCCTTTCCTTCTCTGATATCTGAAGTGGTGCTATCTTGCGCAGACGTTAGTTGCAGGACAGCTCCTGTTACCAACTGAAATTAAAAAGACAAACGGTTTTATTATCAATTAAAGTTTGAAAAAATTTATTAAGATACAGGGCAATAAAAGTATAAAAAAACTTTAAGTGAATTAAATAGTTCCTTTCGGCACTGATAAATCTGCGGGAGTAGTTTGCGTGCCGAACGTCCGGTATAAAGTAAGCTTTCACATACGGGGGTATCACATAAAGACTACACATGAGGTAATTAGTTATTATTACTTCACCGAGGTCCAGATCGTCATCTTTACGAAATTAGTGAGTTAATTCGTGTAGCGGATCGCATTGGCCTCGTTAACATCAGCGATACCCATCCAAACGACGTAATGCATTTTTATTATTTCGCCGTACTGCTTCGTCAAGTTCTTATTCTTCTTTTTTACTCTCTTTCATCTTCAATTACCCATCTCAATCATTATTATTTTTATAACCTGCTCATTATCAAATAGTATTGCAACATCGAGAAATCACGAGGGCCAATTTACCTTTTTATCATCAAAGTATTTTAAGTTATTTTTATTACGTTGCGTGACACTGTTTTATTTTTATTAACGGTATATACCCTCTTAATAATCACAATAATTGTATGTACATAAGTAAATATATAGGAAATATATTTTAATAATTAGTCAAAAGAATTTATGTAAATTGGAGAGCCAAAAAAAAAAAAAAAAAAAAAAAACAAGAAGAATAAATAAAAATAATACGGAAGTTAGGTAGCTGAGTTCAAAGATAGTGAAAGTAATTTCGACATAATTTTGATCTTATAATCTTTTTAAATGAATTTAAAAAAAAAAAAGAAAGAAAGAACAAAACTCTAAATGGACTTAGGTCAGTTACACCGCAGTAGGATTTGAACGATAAGGACATATATGTGTATGTTTTTAAAAATTTTTAACTTCCCGCTAAAAATCTCAGATTTTTGAAAATCGGGAAGTTATTGTTTTCACCCCGTTTTACAAAAATCGAGTTTTCATCAGATCTCGACGTTTGAAGGTCACAGGAAGCTTCCCTGACTATTTTTACGATGATGTCCGTACGTCTGTGTGTGTGTGTGTGTGTGTGTGTAAACCTCTTGTAACTTTTGAACGACTTGACCGATTTCATCGCGGTTGGTGTCATTCGAAAGGGCTTCACTAAAATTAGATTTTCTGAAAATTTGAACCGATTCGGACCGGTAGATTTCGAGAAAATCCAAAAAAAGTGAAAAAAAAGTTGTTTTTTTTTTTCATTTTTTTTAAATATCTCCGAATTGGCTCAACCGATCGGTCTCAAAAACTAATCAGCCCTTAACCTTGAAAACCCCCATCGATCGCCACCAAAAACGTTAGAATCGGTTGATGCGTTCGTGAGATATCGTTGTCGAAAAAAATCGAAAAAAGTGTTTTTTTGTAATAACTTCGAAATTCATGGCTCGATCGATTTAAACTTGAAAATTTTTCATGGAGCTTCAAAAACTGCGTTGATTGCCGCCAACCGCGTGAAAATCGGTTCATTCATTCAAAAGTTATTGCCGTTTGAAAATTCAAAAAATTGTGTCTTTAAACTGCTATTAGAGTTTTGAGCTCAAAGAGCTCAAATTGACACAAAAATAATATTTTTGAGCTCGAAGAGCTTAAAAACGTAATGTGTAGTTTGAAGCGTTTAAGTACAAAATGAGTGGGAAGTTGCAGGGATGGCCTTTAGGGTGAAGAACCGTTTTTCTAATTTTTTTTTCATATCATTAAAGATAAAGAATATCTTACTAATTACCCGGTTAATAGAGTTGAGTAATGGAATATATTTAAATTGTTGTCTTGTTTATTTTATTCTTTGATGGAAGTAAAAAAAATTAAATAATTTTTTTCTCCCCAAGGAATTACTAGAGGAGAAAACACGAAAGAGAAAACCGGATAGTTTTAGGATTGATCGAGGTAAATTATCACGTAAAAATGTAAATGGTGCGAACCGAGATGAGACTATGTTATCACGAATTTAAAAATCGCGTACCGCCTGTGTGTGTCACATATGTTAAAACTTTCTTTTTATTTTTAGGGTTACGTAATTGACCCTAAGACTTTTGGGAAATTTTAATTCTCTTTCGTCATCATCAATATCATCATTATCTTCGTCATCATCGTCGTGATGTCGTTGTTACAAGTCAAAATATTTATGCAAGAAATAAAAATATAAAATTTATTAAGATGTTCAATGATGATGTTGTAGGCCGATAGAACAACTTGATTATGATTTTTCTCGGTTTGATCAATGGAGATTACATTATTTTATTTTATTTTATTTTATTTTATTTTATTTTATTTTATTTTAATAGATTGATCTTGGATAAATGTTTAAAAATTAAAATGTATACTTTTTTTTTATTTGTGATGGAAATGATTCGGGTTTTGATTTAAATGGTGTGGTTTGTGTGAGTTCAGTGAATACTAATGGTGAAATATTGTAGGTATTTAAAATTGTTTGTAATTTTAACGGTTATGAATGATGTCACTATCGAAACTCGTTGGATAGAATATAATATAGGAGTAATGTCTTGTGATCTACGTCATGTTAGCTCGCCTACGCACCGGAATAGAAAGCGATACTCTTATTATATGGTTTTTTAGGATTGCAAAGACACGGATGATATTTATCTTAAGTTGAATGTTTCTCGTAGGAGGTCTTCTTCACATTTTATACTTTTATTTTCCTTTTTACTTTTTTACACATTATTTTTTATCTTGACTCAACGATTGATCGCCGAGTTCGCTGTTGACATTTCGAGTAATGCGTGCAATTGAAATTATTTTTTCATATACTGAGGAGAAATTTTAATTTAATTCACTGAATTATATAATAATATACCTACATTTAAGGTGCATTCGAAAATAAAATATTCTTGAGTAATTAATAATAATTACTCGTTAATCATCTACTGTTAATGTTAATTTATTGCTCGCATTAAAATATTTTAAATAAAATTAATCACCGAGATGATAATTTTTATTGTCAATTAAAAAATATTTATGGCTTGAATATTAGTGAATTATTATTAAAAATTTTTAGTTGATGAAAAAATAAAAAAGTTAATTAAATGTAAAATAAAGCCATTAAAAAATTTTTTGGTCTAGTAGATGACTAATTTAATTTACATTGAAATGTGAATGAGTAAACCAACTGGTTTAATTTTTTTTCTTCTTTTTTTTTTTTTTTTTATCATTCCAAACATAATTTAAGAATATAATGATTATTAATTGTTTTGTGTATTTAAGGCTAAAAGAGATGTGCAAAGCTCACAATAATATTTAGTTCTAATTAATGATAATTTTATTTCATTCTTAAGCTCTTAATACGCTTTTAAATTTTTTATTATTATTACTTTTAATTACAATATTGATCATTGTGATAGAGTCTCGAAAACAAAATTATGATAATAAGCGACGAAACAAACTTCCGGTACGTGGGATCCTTATAAATATATTCACATAAGCCCCGATTTAAATTAAAACAAAGGCTCTTTTGGTAATATCCGAAAGAGAATTTTTAAAAATAAATTTAAACAATAAACTGACAACACATAGAAGCACACAGATATTACACCGGAGATGAGACTCCAGACTGGTCACAGATCACGAAAAGAATGTGTGTCACAATTATGGAAAACAGGACGAGCGGTAACACAAGTAGTTACAACTCAAGTTAAGTTAAGGAATTTGTCGGGTGGAATCATCGCTGAACGCCGAGAACGCCGAAGACGCTGAGAACAGTGATTGATAAGCTATTTTATAAATTTTTTAAATTTCTTTCAAGGACTCTATGTCGTTGAGTAACATAATAACATTATAATTAAGTTAATAAAAATTTTTTTTTTACTTTGCGACTATCTTTATGTCAAAGTTACAGGATAAAACATTTTTATTACCAATAATTGGTGATTGCGAGTCTCGGAAAAAAATTTTCTGCATGTAATAATGATTTTTAAAAATGAAACTGGATCTTGTAGCAAAATCACTATAATTTGTAAAGTAAATGCAATAGCTGAGAATTGGATGAAGCTTCAATCTCGACAGGATTTACAATTAACCTCTTGGACGTTGGACATTTTAAATATAATAAAATATATATACGATAGCGATAAGACACGCTCGACAGACATTCACCTTGCGCATGGACGTGATGAACATGCGAAGGCCACAATCAATTTGTGGCTGGTACTTGAACTACGTCTACGTGATCGGTTGTTTGTATTTAAATTTGAATTTAAATATATTATTTATTATATTTATTATTTTGTTTTGCAAGTGTCCGAGTGTGTTAAATTTTTTTTTCATGTCTACGTCTACGGACATGCATTTTTATGCATATATTATGTATATCACATGTCATACTCACTATAAATATCTTGTTTGATCATAATCATTATCATTATAATCCATTAATTATTCATTAATAATGGTTGAGTGTGTATGACACCTGCATATGGTGGCAAATTGTACACCAATATGTATATCGTATAACTTTCAAATTAACATTTGGTTTCCTTCAAAGGCCATTCACTTTGTCGGCTTTAAATGTTTTTTACAATAAAATTTTTATTGATTAATCATTGCATTGGATCAATGAACATATTTATGAATCAATGACCGACATTAATTTGTCAAGTATGAACAAATTGAAAAAGTAGCTCATGTCTTGTATTATTAATCGAGGTAACCATATTTACACTTGGTGCGGAGGAATATTATGGAGAATAAATTTTTTTTTTTTTTTCGTTTTTTTATTACAAACATACACCTTGAAGCTTGATGCATCATCATTCTCATTATTATCATCAGTATCATCTCTCTTGTAGAGTGAAAGTTGAGTAAAGTCTACTTATATTAACCGGCGGCAGTTACTGTTGTTATATTGCGCAATACTGAGAAGAACCTGAGCCAATAAATAGTGTCCGGAGGCCGAGATCCAAATAACGCATCTTAAAAAGTTATATTACCGATATGTTCACTCGAGGTCCACCACTTATATGAGAATCGTAATTCTGCATCATAAATATCCCCTGTGTATTATTTGCAAAAAAAAAAAACAAATATAAGAATTAAACAGTGAGATGCACTCGGTCGAGGATAAATGTGTGACACAGTTTCGATTACACTTGTACAATTTGTACGTGGGAAGAATCAAGATCGATCGAAAGTTTAAGTTCAACTTGAAGAATTTATAGAAGATGTACTTTTAGGAATTCAACTCCACTCAAAGTTATTGAATACGATGAAAAAGAAAATAAAAGTTTAACAATGACCAACTTTCGACTTTTTTTTTTTCTCTCTCTCTCTATGCTATAAGTTTAAGAATAAAA